TTTTTTTGTTTTTTTTCAAATGGCGATTATATTAATAACTTAAAAACTCAAAAGGATACAACCGAAGTGTCAAATGACACTTCGAAATCAAAAAACTGGATCAACCCCCTTTGTCATCATACACAAGAGGGTACAAATTCCGGAGGCGAACAACAACAATACAAAACTCCAAAACATAGACACTAAGGGTGCGTTTGGTTTCCAGCGTTTTTGCCCAAAACGCTATAACAGCGGTTTTGACCGAATCAAAACGCCAAAAAATGTGTTTGGTTGGGCAGCTTTTTATATTAGCTGATTGGGGCAATCCGCTAAAATTGAAGACGCTAGACTTTGGAGCGTTTTATGTTGGCGGTTGGCTTATTTAATTAATTACTTTGCTTGTTATTTAATAGCCTTTTTTTTTTTTGTTTGGTATATTATTGAATAACCTTTTAAAAGGTCAAAACTGACATGTGTGAGTAGTGTACTGTGTACATGATGTATGTTTTTTTTTTTTTAAAACCGGTCTACAAGAATTTGTTTTTAGTATTAAGAAATTAAATGAAATATAAAAATATTTTATTTTTCTATAGAATAATTATTTACCATTTGTTTTAGTGAAACTTTGGTTGTCAATCAAAAAGTTTTAAGCATAAAAGAATAAAAATTGTGTTATTACGTTTTTATTAAATTTTAAAATTACAAAATATGCAAATTATAATTTTTAAATAATTATAATAACTATTATTAAATTATTTATAAATATTCTTATTAGTAGTTTAATATACTATCAGCTAATAACAAAAAGCTAATTTTACCAAACGTTTTACAACAATCCGCTAATATAATCTGCCAGTCAAAACAACTAATACAATCCGCTGGTCAAAACAACTGATATAATCCGCTAACAGCTAACCACTAACCGCTGATTGCCAAACAAGGCCTAACTCTATATATGAGATAAAAACAGACACAATTGCACTAAAAACAGACAAAGCTAAATAAACGAACAAAAAACACACAAAAAAAAAATAATAATAATAATAATAATAAAACAACTCACACCTAATAAATAAAAATAGAATAATTCTACCCCTAGGTACTAATGTATAGTTGAGGCTCTTTTCGAAAGGATTTGCTATGTGAAGCAAATTACCAAATTTTGTATAAGACGTTCTCTAATTGTTAGTTGAGTCAATCGAATCTACACTTTTTAAAATAAGAATATAACATAACATATTAATATTATGAAATGTCACATTTTTTGTACCTCAAGAATATAATTAAATAAAATAAAGAATATGTTACCACCACATGGTCAAACAGTGATAAAGTCGAATAATTTCAGCAGAACTCAGCACAATGACCAATCAATTCTTGGAACAGTCAACGAATATAGGTTCAATTAACCACTCAACATCATTAAAAAAAATTCGAATCAGTCCACGAATAACATTTAAAAAAAATAAAAATTACAAAGAACAATAAATTGGACTTCGTGTTAAATTTAACCCAATGAGGTGTCAAGTAATTTTAGCTCGTGGTCCACATTTTGGGAAAACCAACTAACCAATACAAATAGCATAGTTTTTTGACCCAGACGGGCTCCGCGGGTCGATCTAGGACCAGGCCGACTAGGAGTCAGTCCCGGTCTCGGTGGGTTATTTGGACCGGGCAACAAAGGACCCGGTCAATACCCAGTCAACCCGGCATTGATCCGGCCGACCCGGCTGGGTCAACCGGATTTTGATTGTAAATGTATTTTAAAAATTAATAACTTTTGTATTTTTTTATCAGTTTTACATATATAATATATCAAATTAATAATTTTTTGATGAGTTTTGATTTAATATTCATATTGTATGTATAAAAATATTAAACTATATTGTATGTATAAAAACATTAAATTATATTTATCTTTATAACAATAACTGTGCTTGAACACCAAAGCTTGAGTATCATATGTCAGAATTAGACATGGCCAAGGGCCGACCCGGCTCGAAGCCAATCTCGGGTTGAGAGATGGACTGCAGTGTTGTTACTATTTTTTTCATTGGCGGTACCAGCCTTGAACCCACCAGGTCGGTGAACTGGCCCATATAAATAGGCGGGCCAATCACATGCCATGAAATTGAGGCCCGTCGGCCCGACTATTGGCCACGTCTAAGTCGAATTGGGTTGCTCAGCTCATTTACAATTGGGCTCCTGAATATATAGATAAATAAATACGGGCCGATCATTGTTGCTAAGCTCATTTAAAATTGGGGCTACTTAGTACTTATAGATAATATGGGCCGACCAGCGGGCTTTACTGTGACAAATCTAGAGAGAATCCCCAAAATTAGGCGCCAAATGGCGGGAAAATAATCGTTCCCAAAATCGCAACCCCTACCAATACCAAGGGTTACTGTAACTGTGAAGCTCAACTCCATAGCCAATTTCCCTTTTTATTTTCTGGGCAGTAGAAATCATACGTGTCTCAACAATTTCGATTACGCCATGGGGAAGAGAAGCAGAACTAGGGTTTCCGAGGAACACATCGAGAACGAAGAAGAAGCTGAAATGGAGGAAGATCGTGAATTTGTCGACGGATCTTCTTCCTCAAACGGCAAAAGCTTGTATGAGGTTTGGTTTTCTTCTCTCACTTGATTTGAACGCTTTTTTTCTTAATGTTTAAATGTTTGTGCTGGAAATTCTGTGCGTTGAAATGAAATGATTTGCTTCTTATCTGAGTCGTTTGACGAAAGTGGGCTGAAGTTTCAGAGGAGATTTGATGTGGGATTGTATGAATAATTGATAGATTGAGTTACTGAGCAACTGGGTTCTTAAGGAATATGCGTATTTTAAAATGATTGGTTTCTTATCTGAGTCAGTAGATGAAAGTTGAGTAAAGTTTCAGTAGAGATTTGATGCTGGATTGTATGAACAATTGATAGATTTGAGTTATTGGGCAAACGAGTTCTTAATGAATCTGTATGTGAACTTAAAGAGGGAATTCAAAATGGTGTGTTTAAGAAGAAAGCCTTAATTGAATGTATAGTATAACAGGTTTGATGGAATCTGTTCTTTGTGAAAGTGCCCTTCGACCCGTTATAGGCTTTGTTACCCACGTGGAAGGAGAACCACACGTTTGTATATTTATCGTTGGCGTGTAACCTTTTTAATTGATCTGAAAGCAGTAGTAAATGCATATGTGATATTTAGATCCTTGGGGTGGAGAAAACTGCATCTCAGCCTGAGATAAAGAAAGCTTACTACAAGTTGGCTTTGCGCCTGCATCCTGATAAAAATCCCGGGGACGAGGTAATTTTTTTTAGTAACATGTGTTGATTTTGGTTTTCTGACGAACAAACTTTGGTTGGGTTCAATATTTTGATCGTTCAGTTTCACTATATAGGAAGCTAAGGAAAAGTTTCAGCAGCTACAAAAGGTTATATCTATTCTTGGTGATGAGGAGAAACGAGCAGTATATGATCAGACGGGATGTGTTGATGATGCTGTAAGTCATGATACCACCTGTTTTTACTGCAATTGAATGCTATGATTTTGAATTTCAAGTTGTTTTTGTATAGAACTTTAGTGTATTGGGGCAATTGAACTTAATTATCACGGTCCCTATGGTATCGAGTATCCCAAATGTTGATTTATGGTATCCTTCCTCAAAATTATCCTTGCTATCCGGGTTCTGCAAACTCCTATTTGATGATTTGTATTTGTAAATACTTGTTCGGACTTCTAGTTTGTTGAATTTGCTTCCCATTTTTTATGCCAAGTTAATCAAATAACAACCTTTTCAAGCTATGTGTATTCACAATAACCTCACTTCATTGCATAAAACTTGCCTTGGTTAAGACTGATTGAAATTATTATTAGCACATAGTTGTGTGCAAGCTCTGCTGAGGATAGAGTCGAGGGGGGATGTCCACTCATCCTCTGCATACTCATGTTTCTTCAATTATTGACAGGATCTAGCAGGAGATGTCATCCAGAACTTGCGCACATTTTTCCGGGCCATGTATAAAAAGGTTACCTACTTTCATACTCAACTGCATTCTTTATTATCGATTGTATGCCACCCAGCAATATTAAGTACTTGGATATCACTTACAGGTCACAGAAGCTGATATTGAAGAGTTTGAGGCAAACTACAGAGGCTCTGATTCAGAGAGAAAAGATTTGATTGAGCTGTACAGCAAAATGAAGGGCAACATGGAGAAGTATCTCTTGATGATTTTTTTTTCTCTGTATACGATTTTGCACTTACCTGCGTGTGGACTAAATGAGTATGTTTTTCAGGCTTTTCTGCTGCATGATTTGCTCTGATACTATGCTTGATTCCCACCGCTTCAAGGATATGATTGATGAGGCCATTTCTGAAGGTTATTTTTCAAGAAAAAAAAAACCCCTCTGTGTTAGGTGTAATCCACATTTTTGGATTTGCTAAAATGAGAGTCTAATACTAGTTAACCAATGTAACTAAAGACTATTTATCAACCTTCGGTATCATTTTCTATCATGGACAATTTCTTATCAGTTCTAATCTAATGCTTTTTTCCTACTCATGGCCCATCTGCTTGTAGGTAAGTTGAATTCAACTAAAGCGTATGAGAAATGGGCCAAGAAAGTGTCCAAAACAAAGCCTCCTACAAGCCCATTGAGACGCAGAAAGAAGTGAGTCGGGTTTCCTGTCAAGTCTACACTAAGTTTTATTGTTCCGAGTAAAGGCCCATAAATTTTAACGCTTGTCTAACAATCTTATGGCAGATCACAAAAAAACTCAGAAGACTTGTATGCAATAATAGCTCAAAGGCAAAATGAGAGGAAAGGAAAGATTGACACAATGTTCTCCACTCTTGTTCAAAAATACGGCGGATGTGAATCTGCTCCAGAGCCAAGCGAAGAAGAATTTGAAGCTGCTCGTAAAAAACTTGAAAGGCAAAGAGCTTCCAAGCGTAATTAACCCGGCCCATACTGCTATCCTTTTACTTTCCTACCGTGCCTTCTTTAAGAACCTGAATCGTCTGCTTTTAAGACTGTATAATATGATGAATGGCTGCTGAGATATTTGTGTTTGTGAATCTGATCAGAATTGTTGTTGAAATGGTTGTTGTGTGAATTGTTTTTTTGTTAATTTTGTACTTAAAAGAACAAACAAGACACGGTTAAGTTATTTTACTAGTATTTTTTATGTGCTGGCATGAATATTTCTAAGTGTTTAATATTCATTTTAATTATTTCCATGCCAAATCAATTTCTATCATTCCAGATCAAGAAAATAAATAGCTCGCTAAAGTTGCCGCTATTTGAGAAATAACTTTTTTTTTGGCAGCCTGCCGCTATTTGTATTCATGTGCAATTTAGCCGTTAAATCCCGCTAAATCTCCGCTATAGCTCCGCTATAGCTACAGTGCCATAACGTTTTAGCCCGTTATTTAAAACCTTGTTCAAAGATATATTCAAATTATTGTTATTTTCACATGAAGTGTGTGAATAATGAATTGAAAATTGGGGTGACTGATCATCCCAGATGAACTATTAACATCGTAATGAACATAATGAGTTAGGTACCACCAAATTTGCTAACATGGAAATTTAGGAAAAAAGTCCTGTCTTGACAGTCACAAGGTATCTAGAGCTACTGCCCCTCTGGCCTATCATCATATTCTGACCTGATATTTTAATATAATACAATGTTATATAGTTACCTTATTATATTTTTTTAAAAAATAAAACATGAGTTTTGTATAGCAAGAAAATTTGAACAGATTTGTAAATGTGGTAAATCCTGCATTTCTTGATTGAAGTTTCAACTTTTGTGGGCAATATGCCAACTTAAGTTCAACTGTGATTGAGATGTGGAACCTACCTTAGACATATTTTCTTCAACATTTGTGGATCCCATAAACCTTTATACAAAAGGCAAAAAATATGGGAGAAAA